GAGTTTTCTCTCTCAGGATTCCTGCTCCTCAGTACCGACTGTCTGAATCACTGTGAACTCGGCCATTCTGTTCTTATTGGATTATAAAAGAGGATTAGGAAAATGAATGAATAATGATGGAAAGATTGACACATGAACATGTCTTTTCGATTGCTGCTTGATATAAACAGGAGATTGTATCGCAAAACTGCGCCGAGTGATTGTTACCCAAATTATCACCAAAGTATTTCTACCGTCCAGCAAATCTTTGGCAGCAGTTTCCAATTGTACTTGTTTATATCAAGTTGTTCCGTGTTCCTTGGAGCTCTCCTCTCTCTTCCTGCCAACAAGAATAAAACTTAAAGATTATTTAAAAATTCGAATGGTGCTGGCGAAACCTGCACCAAATGTTTTTTTTTACGCCAAATGCATTCATAATAAACATTTATAGCCATTATAGAGGGTCCAACGTATAAGGGAAAAGGCAAAGATGGTGTGGAGTGAAGTGTGGGGTGTGAGGTGCAAAGCTCAGAATTAGCCAATAAACCAATGAACCTGTGGTACTTAGCAGGAACCAAACCCTATGAATATGGCCCAGTCCATAGTTTCATGATTTGTTTCAGATTCAGTCGCCTATCGAGAAGCAAATAACCTTTGCTTTTTAACGAAGCAAAATATGGTACTCAGTTGCAAAATGAACGCAATAAATAGCAAAATGACGTGTCGTTCTCTCTCTCTCTCTCTCTGCAATATACAACAACATCGTTCGTGGGAATGTTGGTATGACGTCATGACCAATAGAACATTTTGCCACTTTCTCTGTATGTTCTAACAAATCATTTTTTGTTTCACATCTGTCACATTATATTTTCTCGACGGGTATTTTATGTCTGTTCATCTAATAATCGTGCAAGTATAAATCGTCGTTCGTTTTACATTTTCATTTGCGAAAGCCCTTCGTCATCAATAATGGTTGAGCATTTTATTCAGTTTTTTTAAATTTTGAAACGAGTGTGGAAAGGTCGAAGGTGACATTAGTGGTTGTGAAAAATTCTTAAGGTCAAAGGGTGGAGGATTAAATACTTTGAGGTGACAGTGTGACGAGGTCAAAGGTCGAACTGTTGATAATAAATTTATAAATGAACTTTACTTATATGTTCAGGATATGTAGAAAAGCAAACGCGAATATTTTTTCATATTTCTCTAATTTTTTAAAAGAATCCTTACCATTACTGGTTAAACTCGCTCCGCTGGCTTGTCGCGGTGGACAAATATGCCAGGGAGTCCCTTCACGATAGAAGTTCAGGTGAGTCGCCCGCATCACTCGGATTTTTGTAAAGGTTTACTTCTGCGAGGAATCGAACCTCAGCATCGGCGCTTCCAATCGAGCAACTGCCCACTGAACCATTCTATCCCCTTATTTCTCTAATTATACGTTTTTGTAAAAATTCATTCAAAAAATTAAAATTTAAAATTAATTACCGATATCGATTGGGTTTATTTAGTGAAATCTCATAAAATTTTTAATTTTGACGTGAAAACGCGAAACACGTGTTTGACACATGAAAATTAGTTAATAATTAGTGATTTTTTTCTTACGGTTTCTTTAGCGATGTAGAATAATTCGTTTGTTAATTAGCAGATAATAAGTAAGTAGTTATTGTGTGAATAGCGCGAGATAGGAAAAGCGAGTGGTTGTTAGGTTATCGTCTCGAGCACCAAGATTTGCTCGTGTCGCGTATTTTACAGGAAGAAAAAATTGGTGCCGTGTTGGCGACTCACTTCTCAGTGGAGCGAGCCTAATTGGAAATGGTAAGCGTAATGGAAATTATACTTTTAATTATTTATTTCAGCTCAATACTAAAGATAAATCCTCATCGATTTTTTATTTTATTTTTTTTACTTATTTGAAAATTCATTTTAGAAAAACAATGAAATTAGATAATTCTTAAAAAATATTTTGCTCTTTTTTTTATTTCTCAATTTATTTTTTGAATTTCTGTCAGAAATTTCTGCCGATTAGTGAAAATAGTTTTCCCCATGTTTTCTTAAAAAATTTTTTTCCAACCAGTTCATACCGCATGCGCATGCACACAAATGCTCGTACATGCATGTATGCTTTCATGTTAAATATTTATATGCATGCATGCAAACAAACAAACACATGCGCTGGCACCCATACCTGCACATACATTTGCACACATACACTTACACGCATACATGTGCATACATAAAAGTCCATTAAATTGACAAAATCAACAAAAATTTTTTACACAAAAGATTCTCCGAGTGTAATATTCTTTCACATCAAAACTGAATCGTTGTCTATTTTATACAAATATCGAAAAAAAAAGAATTTTGCAATATTTTCTCAAATTTTTGCTTTAAAATTTAGAAATTAAAAAGTTTTCCATGGAAAAATGAATGAAAAAACGAGTTAATATGTGAATTTGGTGAGTTTACACGAAGTGCGCTTAACAAAATGTGTAGAAATTTTGAATTTTAACGAGCGAGTTGCTTAACTGTGGAATGATTCGATCTATGCAAAATTTCTATGAGTTCCGATGTCGATAAGGGGCGAGCGCATTTGCCTATCAGCGCGAAAATCTGAGTCACCATCACTCGGTTATTCTGCCTGTCGCAGAAATAAACTTTTAATCGATTCATTTCTTTTAATTTTAAAAAACAGTTAAATTATAAGCAATTTTTTACTTTTTAAATAATTTTTAGTTTGGAAAAATTAATTAAAAAGTAAATTGGCAAAGAAGTTAAGAAATAACAGAATGATAGAGAAAAATAATTATTCAGCCAATGAACTAAAGGCTTAACTAATTTTTTGAGCTGAAATGAGAAAATTCAAATCGAATGATAAGTGATAGTGAAATTTCGCATTTGACAGTTAATTATAAGGTAGAGAAGAAATTTTGCCAATTTATCAGCTCTGATAATTATTTTTAATACGAAATAAACACAATGCTGATGATACGAATCGCTAAAATACGAATCACTGCATATTTGAATATCTGACTTGATTCTTGATTCTTGATCTGATCTAAAATCCTTTCACATCAGATATAAATCACGAAATAATTATTGCTCCGATTCGTTTAATGAATAGAATTTTTTTAAAAAAATTGGACTAAAATTTAATTTTTTATTAATCATTTAATTTTTTAGATTCATTTTTATAATTTTTTGTTTATTAATTGATTTATTTTTTAAATCCCACTTAATTTTAAATTAGATTTTTTCGCGGTTTTTTGCATAAAAATTTTTTCCTTAAATCGAAGTAAATTTCTCTTTTTATTTAATAATTTTATAAATTTTCGCTTAAATTTTTTTGTTTAAATTTTGAGAAATTTTTGTTTTGTCATTCTGTGAATGTTGTAAACAGTAAACGATAGAATAGACACTCCGCTACCAGACAATTTATTCACTTTTATTCACGCACGAGTTCACGTTTACGTTTTTGCAAGCGTCTTATTCACACTTCAGGGAATTGGTTTTGGTGTTTATGGTTTTAGATGCGAAAATTTTCCATCCGCTAGGAATCGCTTTCTTTCCCACAGCACTCAAGAATTCCTGGCGCCAATAATTTGTTGTTAACAGCTTTATAATTATTTCCTTTTTCGATGCATCGTTCTAGCAATTAAATTATTTAAATTTTTTTCATTTTTTAAAATTAGATTACCATTTTATTTTTTATAAATTCAAATAAGCGGCTAATTTTTATTTTTATTTATTATTACAATTTTATTACTACAAATATTTTTTAAATATACTTTTCTGCTTATTAAATTTTAAAATTAATGAATTATAATAATTTTAGAAAATAATTTTTAAATTAAAAATCGATAAATCAGTAAAATTTTTTCACTATAATGAAAAAATAATGAAAAAATTTTTGTACTTCAAAATTTTTCTATTAAATTTTTTCTTTAAAGTTATTTGAAATTAAGCGATACAAAAACTGAAATTTATTTAATTGCATTTTTATCATTTTTTTTTCGATTTTTTAATTGAATGGAAAGCAAAATTTATTTATTTATTTTTTATTTGTTCCCAAGTCGATATTTGCGAAGACCAATGAAAAAGATGAGAGGGCGGAAGAGAGGAAAAGACGAGAGAAATAGCATGGAAAAGCGATGGAGAAACGAATTTATTTAGTGGGAAATGCACTATTGATGTGGGAAAAAAAGAGAATGGAAAACACCCCTCTCCTCAATCTCGCATTTCTTTATCATTTCTTATCATTTGCCTTTTGTCACTTCATCACCTCTCTGATCATTTCGCCATATGTTTCTGTCGCTTCTTCACGTTTTTATCATTTCATGATGCATTTTATCATCTTACTGTAGCTTTTATCACCTTATTGTATTTTTCGTCTTCTTCGTTCATCTTGTCACTTAACCGTGCGTTTTATCACCCAATCACCCATTATCATATCACCGTGTTATTTAACTTCTATCATTTTGCTTTCTTTTCATAGTTTCGTTGTGCGTCGCTCTCCTTTATCTCTTGTTTATCTTTCCTTATTCTACAGTTTTTCTTCGTCGGGAACTTTTCTGTAATGTTTTTTCATTTAATTTTAACGTTTCCTTTATGCAATAAATATTTTTGAAGGATTTTATAAGAATTTTGCTCTATTAGGAATTCAATGTGAGCTGAAATCTTAAGGGTTAAAGGTCAATTAAGCATTTCTTGTTTAATAGGTGATGATAGTAATTGACGTTGTTGAAAACGTCATTCAGGTGAAATTAATAATAAGTATAAGTGTAATAATCATTTAAACTCAGCGGCAGTATTATTTTTCATTTCTGTAGTCCTTCATTTTTTCATTAATTGATTTGATTGATTTCATCGAAAATTTCTCAATTTTTACAATATCGTTAGCGTTATATATGCGCATTAAATTTCTTCGCTTTCATAAGCTTAATTAATTATATGAAATTTTTAGAGGGCATTTGCATGAATAAATTGTCATCTCATCAACGATCGCAATTCATTTTTATTTCTTCAAAATGGCTTTCATATCGAATTTAGGAAATACTGGAAATACAGCAAATAATTTTGTTAATAATAATAATAATAATATGCAAACAGTTGCAACAACAGTTGCACCAACTCGATCATCACCATTGCACTTGCAGGTTTATCTTTTTATTTTATTTTTTTGAATTTTATTTATTTATTTTTATTATCCATTTTAATATGAACTTTTTAAATTTAATTCTTAATTAATTTTTAATTTTTAATTTTTTTAATCTTTTTTTTCGGTTTTTGGTTTGGTTGATTGTACTGATTGAATATTAATAGGAGGAAACCACTAGAGAATCATTTAGGAGATAGAAGTATATGTAAGGCATATCAGCAAATGATGATTGGGCCAGTCATATCATCCGACCTTCATCTCAATCCAGTTTAATGCTTACATAATGATAATCATATTTCTTTGAATAATAATTAATAATAATAAAATTTTTAAAAATTATTGTTAAATCATTATTGATAATTATCATTTATTTATTATTATAAATAAAGATCAATTTTTTTGATTATTTTGATTATTGGTTACATCATTATTTTAAAAAAAAAGTTTCCTTTTCAAATTTAAGTGATTTTAAGGTAATCTGGAAATTTCACTTTTAATTAATGGTTTAAATTCAAAATTTTACTTATTTTATAATCTTCAAGACTTTTCTTTTTTCGTTAGATTAAATTCGTTAGATTTCGTTAGATTTTTTGGATTTTTATCACATCCTTTATCATTTATCATATCTACTATATTTATTACTATACTATATTTACTATATTCTCTACTATATTTTGATAGTTTTTGAAAACCCAGTGCGAAATATTGAAAAATTTCAAATTTCTGATCTTGTAAGAAAGATTACATTCCTTTTTTTTTAAAAAAAAGGACCTTCTTTGTGAAAGTTTTGATTTCTTGAGTTCCCTATTTTTTCCATGAAAAAATTTTCGAAAAAATTTTTGATAACTCTGGTGAATTCTTGGAAAAAATTTCATTTCATTCCTTGCAAATTATTCGGTATCGAAACGTTTTATTCATTTTTTTTTTAAACTACCATTAATTAATCGAGGCAGAACAGCAAAATGGATAATGGTTTAAATTATCGCGTTAAAAGGCAAAGATTCCGCTTTTGATCCCGATAGAATAAACATGTCATTAAAAAATCTGGGCAGTGCTGGCGATCCATTTGTCGCCATTTCAGGGACTTCCTGGCAAAAATTTCTAACCTAGTATGAAATCATTATTTAATAGTTATTTTTAGATTTCTTTTCTAGAAGAATTGCTTTCACGTTGGTTTTCTTTTTGATATTTTAGATTTGAAGGATTTTACTTTAATATTCCAGGATGGTCAGTGCGTTTCCCCACGAACGATACAACATTTGCATCCTATTATTGCGCAGATGCAAAATCCGGCAACAGCCCAGCTCGTGTATCAGCAATTACTGAATAGTGCAATAGCAGCACAATCGCAATTACTGCAGAATGCACATTCATCGCTTTTACATACAGTTTCGCAACATCATCAGCAGCAACAACAACGACAGTCACATCATTCCGATATTCTTGCTAATGTTGGTGTAGCTCAAGTATTAATGACAGCACATGGTTTGAATCAACTCATGTTACAACCGAATTTACTGCAACAGCAGGTTTTTGCATGATAACTTATAATTTATATTGATGTATAAAAATTAAGCGTTTCTGATTAGATTTAATCGCTGGCTATTAGTATAGGGATGAGAAATTTTTGCCAGGGAATCACTCAGGAATAAAAATGCAAGTGGTACTCGACCCCACTTGGACCTTTTAATGACTGGTTTATTGCTAGTTTAGAGTGTGGACCCTCGACGCTTGAGGCAGTAATCTAAGCAACAGCCACTTCACTGTCTTTCTTCTCTTTATATATGTGCGTATATGTGTGTATTTGTGTGCGGAAAGACGTGGGCGCTATGTCAAATTTCAACATGTTTTTTTTTTTCATATTTGTAAAATTTAAATTTTGATCTTATTTAATTATTTAGGAATTAGGAAATAGCAAAGCTTTCAAATAAATAAAAAATAAAGAATGGCTTGAATCATTAATCATTGAATATCTACAGAGGAAAAATCTAATTTAAAAGATCCAAGTGGTGGTACTCACCTATCTTTATATCGCTGTGTGACTCTCCCTGGCAAAAAACAGCCAGCGGTGCGGGAAAATCCTTACTGGAAATGATAAGCGCTAGCTACCATTAAACAACAATAATTTTTGAAATGAGACTAGATTTTTTTAAAATATAAAATAACATAAAAAGGATCGATAAAATTGTAAAATTTATTTATAAATCAGGAACATTTAAAATATTTTATTTTTCAAGAAAGAATTATATTGGCAATTAAATATTTAATTAATTGGTAATAAGTTTATTGACTAATTTCGGTGATTATTCTTATCGAATAATAATTTATAATAGATGCCTTTCCTTCTTCTTTTCAGTTGCAGACATTAGCACATTTACTGAATCCACTGGTATATTACCAGCAGTTGGCATCATTAATCCAGCAACAACAACAACATCAACAACAACAGCCACAACCACAGCAGCAACAATCATCAAATACCATAGCTCCACGTAATTTGCAAAATTTGCAAAGCAAGATATATTTAAATTTCAAGCTTAATTTCCTTCAAATTTTCTCATTAATTGAGGTTTTCTGTTATTTTAGGTGCAAATATGATATGATTTGTTATTAACTAGAAAATTAAAGAATGAAAAAAATTTTGAGAAGTTTTAGAAAAATTTTGAAATTTTTTTTGAATTAAATTATTTTAAAAATTGTTTGACCTATAAGCATGTCACATTTTCATTCATTTTTATTCTGCTCATAGTTATGACGTTTTCAATTTTAAATCGAATATTTATAATAGTATTATTTCATTTAAGGTAAAAATATTGACGACATTGGTCAGCCTTTTTACTTTCTTGGTTACTTTCTTGGTTACACATTTCATTTGGTTGTCACATGGGAATAGAAACTGAGTTAAGGTGCGTTAGGTGAATGCTGGTGGAAGTATGAAGCGCTCTTTAGTCGTTTCTCTGCATTATGAATTATTAACTAAAATGTTCAGCCTTTTAAAGCCGCATATAAATACAATACCTTATTGGTGCGTGGATTAGTGGTAAGGCTGTTGCCAGCCAGAATCAAAATTTTGGTTGGAATCCAGCCAACGCCTCGCACCCCATTTCGTCAGGCAGCAGCCGAATGGCGAAAGGAAGTTTTGTGAGTTGTTATTCTCATTTCGTCGATTCTAAGGCTATAAATCCGGCAGGAAAATGTGGATAATCCGGGTGGTGCTAACGATCACCTGTACTTCTATAGCCAAATAACTCCCTGCCAAAATTTGTCTGGTCCAACAAACCGGCCGAGCTGAGCCTAACCAGAAATGGTGAGAGTTCTATTAAAATAACGTTATTTTATTATAGGTTCTAACAAATTCAGGCTTAAGGTTAACGCTTTAAAGGCAGTTTCTTATAAAATTATTCAAATCATTCATTTAATGTTAATGATGGCTGTTAATTAAATTTTTAATTAATAATATTTAATTAATATTTAATTAATTTTTGATTAATTGTTATAATAATCATTTAAGAATTTTAGTATAACGCCTATGAAATTTTTCAAGACACAAAGCCATAGATACTGTTAGTTTGAAAAAAATGAAAGGGCAGATAATTCTAATATTATCTTAAAAGAAATGGGTAATCAACAAATAGATTACCAACAGTAAATGAAACATAATGCTCGATTATTGTAAGTCTTGTTATAATGAATGGCTGGCTTCTATTACTATCAGCAGTGAGATCGCACCGAACAACTTTGAGACGTCTTATCTTTGTAGCCAGCGAAGCGAGCCAATCTAACGAGCAATACTGAGAACTGTTAGATGTTAGAGGAGCTGTTAGAATGTAAATCTTGGTTCTGCGTTCGGGAACTATTTACTTGTTATTTTTCATAAAAATTGTTTGATATGTTTTTTGTGAAGATATTTCTTATAGCATTTAAAATATACTTTGATATCCCAAAGCACAGTTATATTTTTCTTTCATATTGGTAATTTGTTTTGCTTTCTTCTTCCACTTTAATTCCTCTGGACAAAGCTCGCGATGAAAGTTAAATACTCTTACCATTTGTTAAAAAATCGCAAGAGATGACACGACTGAGGAAGAATAAGGAAAATATCTAGTCGTTGAAAGGGATCTTTAGAGAGTTCAACCTAATTTGGTGCGAAATGGCATTAAGGGATACCAAAGGAATAATGAATTTTGAGAAGATTTCAAGCTACATGAATTTTAAGGCTGTTTTGTCCTTTGCTATTTTGTTATAAGTTAAAACAATGGCATTTTTTGACATTTGCAGTATCGGTCGAAAAAAATACCTTTCAGTTCAAAATGGCATCGGCGCGTCGGCAGCAGCAGCAGCGGCGGCGATTCAACAACAGAAATTTATTGAAAATTTTCTCTCTGAACAAACAGCCGCCAATAATTCAATTGTTGAAAAGATTCAGTTACAACAGGGTTGGCAATTTTCATAAATTTTTATTGTATATTACTGGACAGTATACAGCTGTTTCTTTGGTTATTATAAATTTGTAGAAATATACACATTTAATTTGAAATTTCCATTTTTCAGTTTGTTCACAAGCAGTTTCATCTGCTAAGAATATTGCTGAGATGGACAGTGAGCAAATTGGAGAGCACATATCCGATTTAATTATGAAACATACAGCGATTTTAGAAGAAAATCCAAGTCAAATAAAGCGACGTGCCTATCATCGTCAAGCAGGACGTCCATCGTCAATGGAAATTCAGTTAGAAACTCAGAGTCAGGATAATTCTTCTGGTTAATTGATGGTTTATTGTCATAAGATTTTTAGTTTTATCTTAGATAATTTTTGATTCAGTTTTATATGATAATTTTGTTTTTTTCTGATTCTTTATGCGGATGATTACTGACAAATATTAAATTCTATTTCTTTCTGCAGTTGGATTAAATTTTTTTATATTCAAAAAAACCAGAGAATCAGAGAAATATCGAAACTAAAGAATATTTTATTTTATTTTATAAGCTTACTATAAGCTTTGGATTTTTGGTCTTTTAACAAGATAAATGATTTAGCTTAGGCGAAACTTACTAATTACCCAGTATAATTTTTATATTTTAGGAAGAGCATATACATCACGTAATCATTCATTAATTGACACTCATCCTAATTCAGTTCGTACTATATTAGGTGGATCGTTAGCCACTGGGCAGCCAGTGTTACGCTTCCTTGACAAGGTTTTTACATGCAACTACTGCCAAGTGACATTTGTAAATGAAGCAGCCTTAGAAGCACATGAAATCCGTTGTATCAAGTAATTTTTGCAAACTTTGCATATAACTATTCTTTAATAAATAAGGTTGTGACCTGTGTGTTATATGAGTGGTTATGTCCGAAAAGTGTTCTGCTCATTAATCAATAAAAAAATCGATAGATTAACAAAGCTATTCATTATACTGTTATATTATATTGTATCTTATCTTATAATTTATTATTTATTATCAATGAATCGGATGAGTTTTTTCTTAAAATTTTTTTCTTTAAAATTCTCCTTTTAAATCTAATTTAATTATCTCTGTCTTTGATAGAAATAAACCTGTCATGATGTCAAAAATCCGAGTGGCTGCTGGGGGCGCACCTATGTCTCTATCTCCAAGTAACTCCATCGTGGGAGAGTCAAGTCTCCTTGACATGACGTCGGCGTCTCCCGACGCGTGCTACACGCATGCTACTTCTGATTCGGTGGTGCATGCGATAAATATACAATCCGTGCATAATAATAATAGTAATAAAAGTCCAAGGCACAAATATAGAATTTGCTTGCGAACCGAGATAAATACTCAAAATTCGCTAAGGAAGGCGAGAACCTATCCGCTAAAACTTTGTAAGCGCGGTGAGGTGCTGGCTATAGCTACTTGGAACGTCAGAACGCTTATGGATGTTGCATGCCAAGCAATCACTGTCAACACCCTCTCTAAATACCGCGTAGATGTGGCCCGTTTATCGGAGGAATCGGAGTCTTCCTCATATCCGCTCTCGAATAATTATTAAACTTGGTTCCGAGCAAAGATATTGGCTATATCACTGTGGTGTATCAGATAACTCGGGGCGAAATGACGTACCGATTGTCATGTCTAAAAAGTTTCTACTCTCTCGCTCTAATTGACTGGAAGCCAGTAAATGACTGACGGTATGGCCTACACGCGTTTCAAGGGAATGTTCTGGAATATTTCGGTCATCAGTGTATATGCTCCAACTTTAGCCGCTATAAGTTCTATGCGAACTTCAACTGTTAGCAACATCCCTACCGAGAGGTGTCATGGTCACACTCGGGGAATATTGGAATGCGCATAATTATTGCCCTTTTAGATGAACTCGATTATTGGGAAATACGGCATTGGGGTCCAATGCGCCAATGGAGAACACCTTTTTCGTTTTCTGAAGAGCTTAAACTCTTTGTTACTAATGTGCTTTCGGCATCAAAGAAAATATCTAGTCACGTGGAACTCTGGAACTCTCCGGACAACCAATATTCCAATCAGATTGACTATATATTAGTCAGTCACCGCTGGAAGAGTTCTGTACTTGATAGTCGTTCTTATTGGGTGCGCTGAAACTGGTAACCGCCATGGATCAGATTAGATTATGATTCAAGCCAAGATTCGTATAAAACTGACAAGTCGTAAGAAATAATGTATCCTGAGATCTTTCAACTATCTTAAAAGATCCAAGAACAATAAACGCATTTCAAACCCTATTATTGAAACATCTTAGTGAAATGAACTACATTGAATACATTCCCCTGAAATGAACTACATTCCCCTGGAACGGCGAATGAATACTGGTCCCAACTAAAAACATGTTTATAAAATTCAGCCATTTCCACATTAGAGTACGCTAATAGGAAGTGCGCTGGTTGGCTTTCGGAAGAAATTGTCTGAAAAATCTGCCAGCGCCAGATAAAGAGATCCTGACTATCGAAGAATTTCGAAGAATTACAGTTACAGCAGCATGGCAGGACAGAAATCGCTATTGGAGCGATATGGCCTTGAGAATGCGGACGCGGCTCGGATAGGAAACTATTTCGCCTTCTTCACAAAGCAACTATAACTCGAGAAAGGGGAACGATACGGATATTAATGGGATGTCTTTTAAAGGATTGCCTAAGAAGATGAAAGAATTTTTTTAGACCAAACCAAACTTTTAGACCAAACTTAACCACGATACATTATTTGCTGACCCGAATATAACTGATTCGCCTGTCGAGCCTTACGTTTGCTACTGTGAATCGGCAACAGAAGAGGAAATAATATCCATAAACTTAAGACCATTCACTCTTGGAAAGAATGGTCTTCAGGCCGAACTCTTCAAATGTTGTCATCGTCATTCATAAGTCACTTTCAACAAATGTATTCTGTGGTATGGCAAAATGAAATGATACTAGAAGACTAGAGCAAAGCAATTCTGCTTCCAATTTCTAAGAAAGCTGACAGGACATACTGCGATAATTACTGAGGAATTAGCCTGCTAGATATTGGAAGAATTTTCGATTCCCTTCTGCTAAATAGACTCATAGACATCGCTTCAAATACCAGCAATCCACCGTCACTTGCTTTATTGCTTTTGGAACTGCCTTCAATTTGCTTGATAGAGCAGCGCTCTGGAAACTGGTGGAATTTGACGGTGTCCCAGAGAAGATCATTTGGGTCATAAAGGCATTTTATCAGCTTGCCTTGGGATAAGTCTATATATATGGGGAATCCTTTCGAAATATAAACGTGTCCGTCAAGGATGCGTCCTTTTCCCCGCAATATTCAACTGTACAATAGACTGGATAATAGACATTCATTGTCGACACTTAAGTGTACATAAAACCAGTCCAGAGTATAGTATCACTTGAATACGCTGATGATTTAGTCCTTTTTGCTGATAGTAATGAAATGCAAATAATGTTAAATAATGTGCCAACAACTGCAGCGAGAATTGAACTTAAAATCAATGTAAATAAAATGAAATCGTCTTGTATGTAAGATTCTAATAAAATACCTATTTCTATCAATTCATTACCGGTTGAAGAAAATGCTTAATCTTAAATGCTTTGGATCCACTCTAATCCCAAATGGCCAAGCAAAGGATGAAAGGATGTAACTCGGATAATGACAGCTAGAAATGTATTTTTCCAGTTGATGAAGCCTTTATGGAACGGTCGCGAGATCACTATAAAAACGAAAATCGTCCATATAGCTACAATTCGCTCGATCTTGCTATATGGCCGGGAAACATGGCCAATGAGAGTGGAAGATATTAAGAAGCTATCAGCCTTTGATCAGTCATCATTCTGTGTTATATTTTACGGATCCGTCGGAAAGATAAAATCGCTGTAAAAAATAGATTAATAGTTGAAGGCAGTGGATTGCTCGCCTGTCACGCGTTTATATTTTAGAATAACCTTAATCCGGCTGCTTTATCAGGACAGTAGAATAAACACTGATCACCGTACATATTAATAAAATTTTTATTGCCACCTCAAACTTAGACCACGTTGTAATTAAACCACGTTGATATAGAAAAAATAAAATTCAATTAAATCAAAAAGATTAAAATGCAAAAACAGGAAATGAATAAAAGGATGAGGAATAAAATAAAATGAATATTGAACATAGATATTTGGATATAAATATTTGAAATATTATTTGGACCCAATCGCTTGGGTCTCTTGATAGCTCCTAAATAAGGGAAGAAGTATGATCTTTCGAGAATTGATCTTTTGATACTATATACACTGTAAATTGACCTTTATCTTTTATTGACATATGAAATGGAATAAACAAGGAATCGATTAAATTAATGAAATGAAATAATAACATATGAAATGAAAGTTTTTTTTTGGCGGGTCGAAGTTACCAGTTTGAAATAATAATTTTAGAAAAGACGGCATTTTGCTACAATCGCACATGATTGTATCCATCTTTGCTCAAATACGACCTATATTAATAATGGTATCACAGAACGTCGCCTTTCCTGGTTAGGGTATATTCTACATCGTCCACCATAGGAGTTGAGGCACATTCCGTTGCTTGCTAAATCCTGTTATCAAAAGCGAGGAGGGCCAGTTAAGACCTGGACTGATACAGTCAGGAAAGATTTTGAACGTATAGGTGAACTAGCGATATATGGACTTAGACGATAGAAAAACGATGACTACTACTAGCGACGGAATCAGACCGAACAGCTTGGAGACGTCTCGCACTGTCCAGTCGAGCCAGCCTAATCAGTAGTGTGAAAGCTGTTAGAAGAAAAATAAATCAGTTATCTTAAAATAATGCGAACAAGCCTTTATTGTAGGAGGGGTAACGCTTCACAAAGTCAATTGACACAGTTCTGTAGGAATTCGCTCCTAACGTTATCAAATGATACGAGTGATTCAAAACAGCCTTCTACATCATCGTCGTTGATAGTCCTTGAAAATCGACATCCTCTAAAAAGACGTCTTCTAGCAGCTGCAGAAAATGATGAACCTAAACCTTCAACGAGTAAATTGGCAAAATTAGCATCAGAGGTATTTCAGTTCGTTCATTTTAATTCAGTTTTTTTTGTATGTTCTTTAATTTATTTATTCACTGTTAATTGGAAATTGCTTTATAGAACTTAAAAATGGAATCGTTGCACCATTGATAATATAAGCGTTAAAACAGTTTATGATTAATGATTATTTTTGATATATATCGAATAATATAATTTAATAATATTTTCATTAAGTGAAATTATTCAGGAACATGTGAAAGATATTAAACCAGCTATGTCTGATGCTATAACTAATCCCCTATCGAATTCATTTTTTTCGCAGTTCAATAACTGTATTCAATTAAATTCGAACCAAATTCCACCGGTTGAATCAAAAGTTTCTTCATCGCAAGTAAATTGTAGTAATTGAATGCATTTTATTAAATATATTATATTAAAATTTTTAAAATCGTTATATTGATGAAATTGTTCGGGAAAATGTTCGGGAAAATGCTTCTTATATTATAGCGCAAAATTTTCAGAAAGAGCGCGCCGTTGATGTAAGTAGGCCGTATATTTTGACACTGAACGATACGATTAATATTCGCAGAGAAGCTATATTACAACCAAGATGTCGTCTTCGAAGTCTAACTACAGAGACTTATGCATGTTCGAAGGCACATATGATGTATTTCGAGGCAAAGGGCAATTTCAGTTTCTACACCAATTATCAGCAGGTAGTTTATTAAATTTTCTTACAAGGCTTATGTTCTCAGTTCGTTGTCCTATTTTTTTTTTAAGGCCTATAAGTCCTATTTTTTGTTTAAGGCAAAAATCAATGATGAAGAAGCCAAGAAGAATATCTTATATATGAGCTCTTATTCTTCAAAACCAAGAGCAGGTATTAAACGAAAATGGCGTTTTACAACTGCGATGCGTGAAATGGGAGTTTTGAAAGCAACACATTCATCATTTTGGGATTATTCAACAAAGGTTAATTAATTTTCACACTTTATAATATATGTAATACAATATATAAAAGAATATAACATATAATAAATTCATGAAAAATTGACAAATAAATTTAAATTTATTTAAATTTTTATCAATTTTCGCCGTCTTGCTTATCTTTTCATTATTTTATTTATGATAATTTTAAATTTGTGAAAAAAGGATTTTAATAATTTATTTTTACTAAAAATTCGTAATCGAAAATGTTTATGTGAAATATTAATCGATGATGTGATGTAAATTTTAAGTTGTTTCAGATTCGTATGCATCAAAATAATGCCGTTAATGGTTTTGTAATAACAAATAATCTCATATCAAGTCAGAACAACAATATTTCTGTGGATAAAGTAAAACGTGAAGCTTTATCTATCGTTTCTACAATTACAACTACTTCAGTTACCACAACTATAACATCAGCTGGCATCGCGTTTGGCGCTTCAGTTGATTCAAAAAGCATAGAAGGAGATCCATCCATTCCAACGTTGAATGCAAGGTTTTTAAATTTTTTCTTGAACTTTTCTGAAAGTCTTCACTTAAAATAATTTAATATTTAAAAATAAAATTAATAAAAATTATTAAAAATAAAATTTAAGAATTTTTTAAAAAATTCTTTGGCTTTTTCGAAAAAATCAGTCAACTTGGAAGTATTATTACATGGAAACAAAAAGGAAGTAAAGCTTTTTGTCGATTTCAAATTTTCCAGTTTCAAATTTTTTATGCGACTCATTCGACTTCAGAGCTTTAATTTTTCTGTCAATCCACATATTCCATTTAAAATGACAAAAATTGTACTTTCAAAATATTAAAAAGCGAAAATTTCAACAACATTCAATATTTAATCTTAGTTTATCTTTTTGATATTACGAATAATACTGGATTTTCAGTGAGGATCCTAGCAAAAAGAATACGAAATTGAATCTTAAAGAATCTTCTCCAAAAATATCTATGATTCAGCGTATAGTAGGTGGTTATCGTACAGATGAAGTTTATGTTTATGTGAGAGGAAGAGGACGTGGACGTTACATTTGTGATCGTTGTGGTATTCGCTGCAAAAAGCCTTCAATGCTTAAAAAACATATAAAGTTGATACTAATGATTATTTCAATTATCTACTCATTTATACTTTTATATTTAAAGGGTTTTTTTTTCAGGTCACACACAGATATAAGGCCGTATAACTGCAAGCATTGCAATTTTAGTTTCAAGACAAAGGGAAATCTTACAAAGCATTTGCAATCCAAAGCTCATAAGCGCCGAACATGCGAAAAACAAAGTTTGGGTGACGAGCAGGATTATGATAGTGATCAGGATAGGTTGGAAATTGCCAGTCAACCTGGTTCAAGTAACAGAGATCCTCTCTTTGATGATGATTGGTGAGTAAATTAGATATATCAAATTTTTTTTTCCATAGCACTTCATTTATCTCTTTAACCTTTTGCATGCTATGAATAAAATATAGCAAAATGATTTTATAGCTCATTAAAATTAGTGTTCGCCTTATTTCCTTTATTTTATAGCACTTCGGAGGAAGAAATGAAAGTCTCTTCCGAGAAATTTATGAATATATCAGCACAGTATCATAATTTTGGGCAAGGTCAATTAATCTTTCATTTATTTACTGTATTGTTTTATATCAAAATATTTTTTTGTTGCTATTTATTTTATATGTCCATCCATTTGTTTTTTTTGCAGAAAACATTCTTTTTGAACGTAATATTCACACTCCACCATCTTTTTGGATGGTTGGTGAAACAACAGTTTATTGGCCAGATTCAGAACGACAGCGGCTATGTCATAGCGCTCCGCCAGCCGCTTCTCTTTCTCCATCTCTTCGTAAACGAGAAAAGAATGAAAAGGAGTCTCCGGTATTTTTAATTCTTCATCGAATTATAAATCCGATTTTCATTTCTCGGAAAAAAATTGCTCTTTTTTCATCGTCTTAAATCGTATATAAATAGAAATAAATGGATAAATGGAAAAAATATTTTTTTAAAATTTATTAATATTTGTAGTTATTACTCAATCAAGTATTTTTCATTTCTATTTAAATAAAAGTGTCCGGATAAATTTTTAAAAAAATTTAATATCAATAAATAGATAAGCTATTACTAATAAATTAGATAAAATATATCTTAGAGTTGCAAAAAATGAAAGATAGCGTCATTTGTACTTTATTTTACTTTACCAATATGAATAAAAATTGAACAACTGAAATATAAAGAGATTATTATATTTGGAAGGATCCAAAATTAAATTATTAAAATGCATTTGTTTTATATTATATTATATTTCAGACAAGTGGATCTGGAGATGAATTAAAATTAATAATAAATACATATGAAGATGAAATAGAGCAATCTGATGTAATTCCTTCTGATACACCAGTGTCTTCTGAATTCGCACCAGAGGTAGCTCAACCGATAGTCAGCCAGTCTCTTATGGGATCTTTTATGGTCAAAGAGGTGGCATTTTTCTCTAAATATATTCCATTACTTCGATTCATTTGTTTATTTATTTCTTAAAAAGAATGAATTTTTTGTCTTTAAGGAAATGGTGTGCGATATTTGCGATCGTGTGTTTCGAAAAGCTACAGAATTGGCTCTACATCGCCACACACATTCACTTGAACAACAAAATGCAAAAACTCGTTCTTATCATTGTACGGAATGCAAGCATAGCTTTCGATCAAAAAGTCTGCTTAATCGGCACATAGAAGTGGTTCATAGCAACGCTAAGCGGCATCGTGAAAACAACGATTCGGAAACTGGTACCTTAGATTTATATTCTGTTTATTTTTTTTATATATTTATATATATATATATTTTTTGAAATGGATACCTCAAGATATTTCATTTGTGGGCATACATATATCATATAAACCTAAATGTCTATTATCTTATAAGCGAAAGTTATCAATAATTCGTCACCTTCATTTGCATTTTACTTAATTTTCAGCGAGCAGTGATCCTCGTGCTTTTCGTTGCACTGATTGTGATATCGGTTTTCGTAAACATGGTATTCTGTCTAAACATCTTCGTTCGAAAGGTCATGTTGCAAAATTAGAAAGCCAAGGTAAATTACCAGAAGATGCACTTGCTCTTATATCAAATGAATCAAATATTTCGTGTTTAAATCGGATTGATACGACTGATTGTGAGCGAACTCGTCTATCTCTAATTGGTTTGTTATTCATAAACTGGATTTTGTTGAATTTTATTAAAGAGTTTTATCAGTAAAGCTCTTTTACACAGTTAATCATTATAGATTTTTCTGGTTGTTTTCGTTCATCTCTAATTTTATTTGTGTTAAAAAGAAAAAATTCATAAATTCATATTTTTTGTATTCTTAAAATATATTTTTGAATATTTTTGAATCTTTCTGATAAATTATATACCTGCTTTCCAATTTCTGGCTATATTTTATTTTTTCATTTCAGCAATTCTCGCTTCTCTTCGAGATTCTGCTTCATTAGAATGTCGAGAACAACTTATGCAATCGCCAGCACCGCCATCTAATCGTATTGCATTCACGCCAAGACGGCGTTCCGTTGCTTCATTTTCAGTTAGTAGTTCCAACAAGCGTTCCTCAACAAAGAAGTGCGATAACAGTAACACATCATTGAATCAGGTAATCTTAATATGCAATATTTTTTTGCAAGTCATAAAAATTGGTTATTGGTTAACTATAGGACCATAGGATAATTTATGCTCAAGTTTTTGTACAAATCTGTTTAATGAAAAACGGAATTTAGTTGAAAATGTTTCAGAATGAGGCAATGAACAAAAAAAGCGATTCCGTTTTGCTTCTCAAAACAAATGAGGACCTTGCTGGGAAATCGATTTCAGCTAACATATGGATACCACCAAAGTCTGACTTATCATTATTAGTAAGCATTTTTTGAAATTTCGTCTTATTGATAGTTTGACATAAATTGTTATAGAAGAAGAGTTTGGGAAATTTACTGTATAAATTTATTGCATCATATCTTCAAATTCTTTATAAATAATGTGAAAAAAATAAAAATTTTGAACTTTCATAAACGTTTTCTATAATTTATCCCATGAAATCTTCAGAATGATCGACGCCTTCTAGATAATTCACTTTCAACGCGAAATTTAACGGATTCATCTGCATTTTCGGACAATGGTAGGTAATCTCTGTTGTTCATAAGCTTAAAGCCAATAAAATTTCGGGAGAAGATGGTCTCTTCAAATGTTATCTATCCATTATCCTTCATAATGCACAAATTTATTCTCTGGTATGAAAGAAAGAAATAATACCATATGACTGGAACAATGCAATTCTGCTCTTAGAAATCCTCAAGGAAGATGACAGGACATACTATGACAATTATAGAGGAATTAGCCTACTGGACATCTTAGGGGAAACTTTGCTTCCCTTTTACTCAGTAGATTTATAGCAACAGGAGACAGCAGATGCGCATCTGCAATCCACCGTTGCATGATGACGCTTTGGAGGGTGATGGAACGCGACAGTGTTCAAAGAAGGTCATTTAAGGCATTTTATCAACCTACATCTACATCGGCACAGGTCTATGTATATGGAGAACTGGCTCCTTCGAAATAAAAACTGGTATCCGTCAAGGCTGTTTTCTCCTTCAATATTCAGCTATGCGACAAACTGCACAATGGGCATCGCTTGTCTGCACTCAAGAGATGCACAAGACCTTGAATACGCTATTGATGCAATCTTTTTTGATGAGAATTACGAGAAAATTCAAACAGTGTTAAACATTGATCAATCTTTTCAATCTTATGTACAGTCTGATAAAACTTAATTTTTTTCAATTAATGGTCGCTTGAGGAAGTGCTCGACTTTAAATACCTTGGATGCACTCTAATATTGAATGGCCATGCAAAAGACGAAATTACAGTTCGGTCCGGTTAACGGCAGCTAGAAATGTATTAATATTCCTGAAATGGACTCATGGACTCATCACGAAATCACTATAAAAACGAAAGCCAGCGTTCATAGTTGAAATTCGCTTGATCTTGCTATATGGCTGAGAAACATGGCCAGTGAGAGTGGAAAATTTTAAGTTATCATTTATGTCTAAAATTCATTTTACTGGTCCATCAAGCAGATGAAATTGCATATGATTGTAATTGTGATTGCTCAAATACCACCTATTAATAATGTTATCGCAAGCGTCGCCTTCGCTGGTTAGGTTCTCTGTCGTCTACCACAAGAGTTGTCGCATATTTCGTTATTTGCTAAAACTTGTGATGGATAGCGTTAAAAGCGAGGTGAGCCAATCAAGACCTGGACTGATACGATCAGGAAAGATTTTGAACGTATATGTGGATTAGCAATATATGGGAAAAGGAATGGCTTCTATTACTGTCGACGATGGTATCAGACCGTATCGCTTGGAAAGGTCTTATCTTTGTAGCCCTTGGAGCCAGTCTAACCACTAATGGTGAAAGTTTAGATGAAGAAAATGATATTGAAGATTATAAAAACGCAAAATAAAAGTATTTAAAAATATTTTATCATGGAAAAATTTTTAGGATCATCAGTTCGATCAGATGAAGCAAACAGTGATGGGGCTTGTAGAAGCGAAAGTTCCACACCTACACAAAAACTGCTGGGCAGTGTGGCTGCATCACCTTTGCTTCCTATTTCTACCCGTTGTACTGTTTGCAATGCTAACTTTGAAACGGCGTTCGATTTACAGGTAATTATATATACTTGGTGATATACATATATATTTAATATTATTCAATTCTTCAGGTCCATTTACATGCAGATCATATCGAACTTCGAGATGGAAATGATTTTCGTTGCCCGACGAGGGGCTGTGATAAAGTATATCCAAATAGAGAAAATTTAAGGTTACACATTGCTGCTCACTTTTATGGCGGTGGAGCAACTCCAGTTCGCGGTGCGTTCAAATGTTTTTAGCTATGTTATTTTTTAATTCGATAAATTTACCTAGTAAGATAAATTTGACTAAATGTTTTTTTTAGTAAAATGCTACTTTTATAGAAGGTTGTGAAGAAAATGAAGGCGCTACCACTATTCTTTCGGAAATGATTGGTAGCAGTGGTTTTCATCGAAAATTAGCAGGTAACAATAGTTCAGATCAACATGCGAATTCAGCTCCCAACCACAGCCCTGGAATACCAGAAGAATCACGTACGCCTACCTGTCCAAGAATATATAGTTCAACAAGCAAATATACGACCGAATCAAATGGTGTTTCTCAAACAGTATCTTTCATCAGGTGATTTTTGCTTCATTTTTCTGTCGAATTTATTTTCTCAGTCAACAGTAGGAAATTAAATAGAAAACAAACATTTCAATCTTTTGAATTTCAGGACAAAACTAGAAGAATCAAGAAATGATCAAATTGTAAATAATTGCGTTAGCAGTGATAACGATACTGTTGATCAAGTAATAGGAAATTCCATTATTATTTCACCATATTTCTTGAAATTATTTCTTGAAATTGTATACTTTCTTTATTCAAAAATCAACCACTATTACTTTTAAGGAAGAATCGAATTCAAAAGATCGCCAAACACCTATAACCGCTACTGCTTTACCATGTGCTATATGCGGTTCTTGTTTTCCAGATGCATTTATTTTGCAGAAACATTGGTTATCACATGTCTGTGATCGTCCTCACATTTGTAAACTATGCGATGCTGGTTTCACTACAGTGGAAGCGCTTAATGCACATACACTAACTCATCAAAACGTAATTTTTTTATTTTTTTATATTTTTATTTTATTATTTTTTTTTATTTTTTTTTGTAAACTGCATTTTTTGGGGTACTTTTTGGTTATTTGAATAGTTATATCCCTTATTCTTCTTTGTTGATGGAATCTTTACGATCCGAAGAGGAGGAAAAAACCACATGATTAATTTATTGCTGAATAAATAATAATGCTGATGGTATATCATTCAATGTTAAATTCAATGACAAAATTAGAGCCACCGAAAATTAAGGCAAAATGAATCAGTTACGATTGAAGAAAGTTATTACTGCAGCGATTGAGAGGGAGTAGAAAGGGAAGACAAAACTGAAAGGAAAGTGGAGATATAAGAAGAGTACTGAAAATATATATTTGATGCTTTCTACCTGACCGAAGAATGCTCGCTTTTGAGTTAATTATGCAAAGATTTTGCTAAATATTTGGCATTAAAATGAACAATTTAAAATTAAATTTTATTACAGATAAAGCGGAGCTAATTATTCATTCTGATGCATGAAAAATTCGCGACTAAATTTTATATTTTGCACGGTATTTATGAAATGCGGGCCGATAAAATTCCGTTGTTTATTTATCCTGTTATTGTATTTTTTTATTTTTTTGCCTATAAGAGCTTAGCGATTAATTTTATTATTAGTTAATAAGGCAATTAATTAATTTTATTTTATGTACAGTATTTCTTCTATTTCTACAATTATGTGGTATATATTTGTAAATCGAAATGGTCTCTCTTATTTCTTTTTTTATAAACTGATTGACTCTTGTATGTATTTTTTAAAATGGAAAGGTATAAAATTTAAGCAGTCTTAACAATATTACGAATAAATAAACCTTCCTTTCGAAAATTTTCAGCGGACTTTGCGTTAGTAAACTTCACTGTTCATTCAATTATTTAAATAATTCGCATGCCCGATATTTGCAAATCGCTAAGAGTGGCGTGAACTGATGGAATCCTACTTGATCTGTATGTCTACCACCCAGGGAACAAACACGATAGGAGCACCGCGTATCATGCACTTGTTTGCGGACGAATTCGGTGACCGCTTTTTCCATGCCCGCAGCTGCCGTTTTTTAATTATCAGCTTGTGTCATTTTTTAAGAGTCAAGTTATATTTTAGAAGGTTGCAAGGGTGAGGGAATGTAATTTAATGAGAATGGGTTAAAATTTGATGGTTGCAAGGTTTTGCGAGAAGAGCGATTAGATGGATGGGGTTTTTGCTTAGGCTTAAATAGCAATTTTTCGAGAAATTTGTGGTAATTTATTTGGTTATTCGCTGTATTCGTTCTAATTTTTAATGTAAATTTGCAGAAATAGTTTTGTAGGTTTTTCGAATGGCCGTTGAAATTAAAGCGAAGGCTGTCTACCAAGCCATTAAAGATGGTAATTTCCTCGGCAACGAAACCGCATTTACTGCTGAAGAGATTCGTCCATTTATGCCGTTTTTTCTTTCAATAGCTTTTTCCTTTCCGTCAAATTCCACTTCACTGGTCAGTTTTTTGTTCTTCATCACTTTGCGATTCATCATAAAATAATGCAGTAAAATAATTTAATGATATGGCGATGGTTGAGGTCGGGGAAATTGCTAAGGCGAAATGGTAAATGGTAATGGCAAGCAGAAAGTATTGCAGTTATCGGCTGATCTCGCTGAAAATGAAATAAAAGCTCATCCGAGTTCAATTATTCACAGCAGATGAAAAGAAAAAAATTAGATATGTTAGAAAGCATTCGTGAAGAAAGAATGAATGACCGTTTCCGAATTGCTATCGTTCATCGCTTAAATACCTAGTTTGCGTAATAATATCAAAACTCAGCTCTGCTTCTGCCAGCTGGTCGCCGGCGAATATTCTAATAGCGAGCGGAGCCAGCTTAACCGGCGTGGTGTCTTATTGGCCAGTCGATAATAAATAGTTATTGAGTGCTTGAGCGAGATTTCGTCACTGAATTTACTTAGTAGTTTTAAAGTAACACAACAAAGCAGTTCTTGTTAAATTAAATTTTAGTCATTTAAATTATTATTTTAATTATTTAATTCGATTTAACCACAAATCTGTCGTAAATTTATTCGACTAAAGTAAAGGCTTTTAAACTTTTTTACTAACCTTCTTCCATGTGATTTACCTGCTAATGAGTTGTTCTGTTGGATATGATTTTGAATTTGACCAGTTCTTACAAATAGCAATTACTTGTCTGAGCGACATTAATTGGTTTATTTATTGACAGCATCGATTCGTCTGTGAGCAGCAGAAAAACAGCAAAGAATTAAGAGTAAATTAATTGAGTAGTATTCCAGACATAGAAAGTTTTTTTTGTACAGGACATGTTGCGTTGTCAATTAATGGAGTTTTCACAGTGCAACAATTTTATGAAATTTTATAAAGTGGATAAAATAAAATTAATCGAGGAATTAGAAAATGTGAAGAAATGCGAGGAAAGTTTAACGATGAATTGTTTCGAAATAGCTTCGCCATGTGAGAAATTAAAAATGGTTGCTATTCTCTTGGAGAAACGTTCGTTTAATTATTTATTTTTATGTGAAGCTTTACATTTTAATATTAATTTGTCTGAATTATTCGTTCTTTTCTGATACAATTTATTCGGGAAATAAAAGAGATAGTTAATGGCCAAATATTTTTTTTAGACATTCAAGGTATTCAATTTTGAAATGTTTAATTTAATTTTATTAAGCATAATACGCATATATGTTAATCAAAGATATTAATCACCTATTTCCAGTGCGTCGAAACATATATTGAGGTTACTATCTGTGTAGTAATAGATAATGTTCTATAAAAATTAGAAATAGAAACCGGATGGTTGACCTCAGGGTAGTGGTGAGAAATAATTTGATAAGTTTATAATTTATTATTTTTCCACTCATTTACATTTTAGTTTTAGTTATGATGAGATCGTCAAATTCTACAAATATTCCGTTATTAGAACATGTAAATATCAATGAAGAAGTGATCTGTGCAATGGTAATTTGTGCGCAATTATTACCACAGCGATATGGTCCATCAGTCATAGTTCGATCGCTTTTAGCAATCGAGGATGCTCCGAATATAATCACTCAGGCGAGCCAAAATATTTATGTTTGCAATTTTCTTTGCGTCAGCAGTGGGCAGTCTATTTATACTTATTTTTTTAGTTTATCTGTAATATTCCTTCCTCAGTGGAATCGACATTGGATAGCTTATTACTATTACCGATTCCTGATGATGAAAGTTTGATCGCCAAAAACAGAACGAGCACTGTTCTTAAGGTATTCACAATTGATGAACATTTATTTATTTATTCATTTCTTTTTCCTCTAATACTTTTCATCATTACTTGCTAAGCTGGCTTCACTAGCTACAAGGCTAAGATGTTTCCATCGTTGATGGTAAAGAGTTTAGCAATTATATATCAAGTGGGCAACGAAGAACATATCAACAGAAACGCTTGGTTTTGTTAATGCAGATGGTATTTAAGCGAAGGTGGATGCAGTCTTGTGAGATTTTGTCCACTTGATGGACCCGTAAAATTATCTTAAATAAAGTGATCAAAGGCAGGTAGCTTCTTTATATCCTCCACTCTCAATGGCCATGTTTCGCAGCTATATAAAAAGATTGAGCGAAGAAGTAATATGGACACGGACTTTCGTCTTTATGGTGATTTCGCAGTTGGTCCATAGAAGTTCTATCAACTGGAAGAAAGCATTTCTACCTTCATCCGGATGGTAATTTTGTCTATCTGCCTATTTGGGATTAGAATAGATCTAAAATATTTAAAGTCTCCTTAAACAGCGGTGAATTGATAAAAATGGGTATTTTATATTTTATTTCTTGTATATTTCTTTATTTCTTGACACATTGTTTAGTATTATTTGCTGCATTTCATCATAACTGACAGTAAAAATGACTACATCATCAGCGTATTCAAGATCTGTGATCCTATGAACTGTACTGATTTGAACACTTCTTGAATACCGACAAGCGATATCCATTATCCATTCTTCACAGTTGAATATTGTGGGAGAAAGGACGCAGTCTTAGCGGACATCAGTTTATTTCAAAGGAGTTTCTCAGTTTCCCCATATGCATAGATCTATGCCGATGTAAGCCGATAAAATGCTTTTATAAGTCGAATGATGTTTTCTGAAACACCGTCGCGTTCTGTCATCCATGAACCGACCCGACAAAATGAAGTAAACGGTAAGACGAAAAATTGACACCGAGACTCCGAGCAAAGGATGAAAACGCTTATAATTTTATGACAATAATTATTTCAGAATTTCCGGCAACTATTACGTAGAACTGTTCTTTCCACGGCCATCTGCGAATAAGCTTGGAACATTGATGGCTGAGATATTGCATAATTTACCTTCGAAGTGGGCATAGGTCATACAGTCGCTTATCACTCAGTTAAAGCGGGATGGTCCTTTTCAAACAGTCGTTACGCCATTTCGCTCCGAGTTTTTCGAAACACCACAATGATAATACCATGCTTGGTCAAGTTTATTACTTACTTGAGATCTGAAGTGAGAAAGATCGAAGACTTCCGATGAGAAGGTGACAACCACACGATATTTAGAAAGAGTTTGAACAGGGTTCGCTTGACTTTCGCTACGTCCATAGGAGTTCTGAGAGAGCCGTTTCTCTTGATAGGTTTCGAACAATAATCTTTCTTGGCGAGCATATCTTATTCACAAGCCTTGGGATCGTTTTGTTACACTCGGATTGCTTTATCGCTTACCTCAAAATGTGGAGGTATCGTGCACATCAGAAAGATGCCGCCGTTTCAAAAAGACTGGACCCTTTCACCATAGAATCACCTGAAGGTGGAGATGAGTTCCCAGCAGCTTCTAGATTTACAGTTGAGTTCCCAGCAGATTTTTGATATGGTATGACAGTATTTATTCATTTATCTAAAAAAATAGATGATTTAAATGAACCGGTTTATTGGAAGTCCTTGTTTTTTTCGGATTAGATTTTTAATATATCTCCACCGAAAAATCTCTAAATACATGTTGCAATAAGGGTTCGTTCTTGTTAAGTAATAATACATATTTTTATTTTAATTTTTATTTTATTAAATAGGTTATTAAAGCAAAATAATTGGTTCCAATATAGTGCTGTTCTGGGTTTTATTTAGTAAAGTATTTTTAGATTTTTAGATTTTTTTTTAGATTTTTATTTTTAGTATTTTTAGATTTTTAACTTTATTGGGGATTTTGAATCGGTATAAAAATTTTCAGCTTTTAGCACTAGATCCCTCACTTATCAGTTCGACGATCAATCGTTTATTAGAAGCTGGTACATTGCTAACTAACAGTCTTGCATTAATTATTATGTGCACTTGCTTAAACGATATGCATTTTATTGCGCAGTTGTTAGCAACATTACTAAAACGCCGTCCAATTGCTACATACATTCAGAAATCTCCCAATAAAGAATCTGTCAAATTGTTACATGAAAGGATTACAAAAGTTCTTAATAATCATATTTCATGGTAAGGCAATTTTTTTGCAATTTTTATGAAGTAGTTGTTTTGGTAATCCAGCGTAATCTAATATTTGGTAGGTTCCATCACCTATATATTGGTGATTCGGTCCATTTCGACTACATCCTCGATAATTCAGCAGATTTCAGCACATAAGTTAAATCTCTGGGGATTTTCCTTTATATCCTATTTCAAATTCGAGGAAATTCATTTATAATTTTGCATTAAAAAAAAATACTACTCAAATTTTATCGGAAAATTTTGTTAATTTCATGTGGTAGCGCGAGAAAGATGATAAAAGTTGGGTCCTGCTAGCATTCATACCTGCAGTTTTCCCATTCAAAGATCAATACATTATTCATTAGGCCTTTGATGATATTAGATCATCGATTTGCGATATTTGTTGATCAGTGAAAAAATTTTTTTCCTAATTTCTGTTGTCTAAACTCTTAAGTGACTGTAAAGTTCTGCCAGAACACAAACATTTCATACGTAACGGTAAGGTCGGCCGTTGAATCAGAGCAATGCCGGAAGGCACTTGATGTCTTACAGCAGTTGAAACAAGCTATGTGTCTGGCACAATTGTGAATCAGAATACAAAGTTTTTTGAGATTTCATTGAAAAAATATAAAAATAGCTTTGAACTTATGTATTCATGTACATGACACTTTTTGAAAGAAATATTTTTCAGTACAGATGGTACTGCCATTGCACGCTTGGCTCAGTTGCTCGCGGCATTACGAATCGTTGCTGGTATTCGTTTGACTTCTCAAGAAAGTCGTTTATGGTTATTGTTTTTAACGAAAACGGATTGCAATTGTGATCAGTATATTTCGATTGCTATCTCGACAATTATAGCTTTCCCGCAACTTATTCCGTAATAATTAAGCTCTTACTATTCTTTACCTTCGTTTGGTGTAGAAGCAGTTAAATCTGAACTATTAAATCAGTTTAGTTAAACTTTTGTAGTCTGACAATGTTGATGATCTAGCTGACTGTGCTGGTGGCTAGAATATAAAAGATCCAGGCCTCTTGATCAAAGACTAGTAACTGATCCTTTTCCGCTTAAAATTTTCTCTAGTCGTATCAATTTTTCATTGACTTTCCTAACTTCTGACACCATTCACCATAGAGCTTTGCGAGCTGTGTGTAAATTCCTAGGATGGGCGACGAAAAATATAATGGCTTAATGGTGTATTTACATGTATCAAAGCGATTAGATTGATGCAATCATATAAGATTTTATCTGCGAATACTTTGGATGTATCTCAGGCAGAAATGGTTATCAATTTGGCAGAAAGAAGCAAAAATCTTCTGATAGTTGTGCCAATGTCCCCAATCATCTTTCTTAAAAATTCTTATGATCAGTATTTCTTTGCTCCAGTCAATTGATATTTATCCCATACCGTTTTGCAGAATAAATATTTTACAGATGGATTATGAAGAACGGGGCAACCTCAAAGATTTTATCGGCCTTAATCTTCTGAATTACAGAGAGAATTTGAACTCGTCTGTTAATTGACATATGCAATCATTCCAATGTATTCCAATCATAATACTTAGTGTGATTCGACTGTATTGGTTCGTCCATCGTAGTTAAGTTTATTCAAATGGCCATCGGGATAGATAATATCTATCAATGAGATTTCCATCCTTCTTTCAGATCATTTCACAACCATCTCTTAATCTTCGGTTACTCTAAAAAGAATAAACAGAATAATGTTATTGGTCGTCTACCCGAGTTATTTTCTCTATATTCAGAAACATACCCTTTCAGTATCGCCTTTTGCCTCGTCTGATCGTTATAGCAATTTGTTAAACTACCGATATCTAATATCTCCTAGTTTTTCTGATAATTAGTATTCATACTTTCTAGAAGTGTTCCTGATATTAAAGTTCTTTAGTTATTTCAGCTGGAAATTCGCATTATATTGAATTATGCAAATTATTTTCATTAAGTTTCATTCTAATTTATATTGGTTTGGTTTCATTATTTAATAATTTAGTAATTTAATGTTTAAATAATTAAGAAATATCCGCTGGTGGTTCACAGATGCAAATAGTGCAATGATTTGCTTGGAATTATTATTACTGAATAAATTTTTAGAATCCATTTGAGCGATGACAGTGAAATCGAAGCATCTTTGATAGCTTTTCTTGATTGGATTAAATGTCGCGCATCTGCGGACTCTCTTTGTTTTGAGCGGTTCTTCATTCTTGTTTCAATACATTTATTAGCCAACCAAAGTGAACAGTTATCTGCTCTTGTTTCTAGCACACTTTTCTTAAAGGTTATGTGACGTTTCATTATTTGAATATGTAAATTAGATGCAATCTTATTAAAGTTTGATAATGGGAAGGTGTTTTTTCTTAAAGCCCTCACCATTACTGGTTAGACTTGCTTCGCTAATTTGTCGCATTGGACAAATATGCGAGAGAACTCCTTGGCGATAGAAATGCAAGTGAGCCAGCATCACCTGGATTTTTGGACAGGTTTACTCCTACGGTGAATAGAACCTTAGTATCAGGGCTCCGAATTGAACAACAACTCATTAAGCCATTCTGCCCCAATAAAAAGGTTGTAGGCTGCTTTAATGAATTTCATTATCCTTTATTACTGTTTTTCTTTTTTTTCGAAAATTTCAAATTTCCAATTTTTTTCATGATTAACGAACTGGTCAAAAAGTTAAAAAAAAGTATGATTTTTTACGCTCTTCATCGCAGGCTAGAATTCAGGCTAAAATTCATTGTCCACATTTAGTTTATAATTTATAGACAAACATAAACATTCGAAATCTAGTGACGTTACGAAATCTTTTTCTTCGTTACGCAATCACGGAGAAGGATATAGCGGAAAGAGTATCTTTAATGGGGGTTACACAGTCATTGAATGAAGCTCATCAAGGTTTTTTGCCTGCGAATTGTATCACTCAATTGCTTACAACGCGGGCATTCGCAAAGCATTCTGTTCCCATTCAGGTTGTTTTTTAATTTAAATCTTCCTTCAAAACTATGGAATTACAGTATGAAAATCGATTTTATAGGACTGGATTAGCGCTCAGATTATGGAATGTTCAACTCCTTTACATCCAGTTATACCTGAGCTAATTACGGCTTATGCAGCAAGTTGTTTCCAAACATCTGAATGTCAGTCATCAACACTGCCACTTTCAGAAAAGTTTTTCATTGTAGGAGGCTTTTTATTAATAAAATACCGTTGATTTATTTCTTATTTGTTTCTTCAGCGATCGCATAATTACCAAGGGGCATAGCTTGCTGTATAATGAACCATAAGTTTTATTTATCGGTATGACTGATGGAATAGTAAATTGAAAATGTAATTAATATTACCATAATTCTTTTTTTTCTAACAGCTCTTACCATTACTGGTTAGGCTGTTTGCACTGGCTATAAGAATAAAACGTTTCCAAGCGGCGCGATCTTATACCATCGAAGTCCATATACTGCTGGTCTACCTATACCTTCAAATTTTTAGTTACCGTATCTCCAGGTCTTGATTGGTCCACCTCGCTTTTGACGTCACCCATCACAGGGTTCGGCAAGTAACCATTATTCAGTCTAATTGAATATTGTAGGAGAAGGACACAACCCTGGACACCAGTTCTTATTTTGAAGGATTCTATCAGCTTCTCATAGACAGGCCTGCGCCGACGTATGCTCATAAAATGCCTTTATAAGTCGCATGGTCTCTGGAACACCGTTGCATTCCGTCACCCTCTAAAACGCCATTCTATCATTTGAATGGAAAGTGGCCGCAAATTCGATGAAACACTTGACATGGATTACAGATATTTGACGCGATGTTCCAACACCCTTCTCAGCGTGAATATCTTGTCAGCATAACCTCTCTTTGGTTTGAATCCAGCTTTTAAGGCACCTTTTTTTGTCCCCTACTTCCATAAATCTACTGAATAAAAGGGAAGCAAAAATCTTGGCTGAGACATGCAGTAGTCTGACTCTCGATAATTATCGCAATATGTCCTGTCATCTTCCTTGAAAATTGAGAGCAAAATTGTTTTTCTTTAGTTATCTGGTAACATTTCTTTTTTCCATCCTAGAGAGTACTTGTTGAAGGTGAGTTATGATGGACAACATTTGAAGAATTCAGCCCATCTTTTCCCAGAGTTTTATTGTCTTTAAGCTTATGGTTAACGGAAATTATTTCTTCTTTTATTTGCGGCTCGCAGTTGCAAAAGTATGGTTTGACGAACATATCAGCTATGTCCGGGCCGGCGCAGTGGTTAAGTTTGACCTCAAAGAATATCTTCCATTCTATGACGCGATCCTTAATATTCTTAACAGGTACCACTGCTGTCTCTTACCATTTCACTGAACGTTCCCCGAGTTATGGTCTATTCTCAAGGACATGTCTCTCCAGTAGTGATTTTTGTCCCGCAAGCTGCTGTTATAGTTCTTCAAAGCATCCAGCAGTTAGGATCTCTTGACATTTGGCAGTTGTGCTTTGGCAGTTTTTTTCAGATAGTTGGACAGTTGCTTCTGATACGAACTTATGCATTTCTTACTAGTAAGCATTAGCGTGAAATTGGCTGACTTTCGGAGACATTCCTTTAGTTGGGACCAGTATTCACCTATCATTGCAGAAGATTGATATTTGTACTATTGAGATGCTTCAATTCGGTTTGAAATGCGCTCATTGTCCCCAAATTTTTTAGTTTGAGATAGTTGAAAGATCTTGGTAGATACTGTTTTTGCGAGTTGTTAATTTTATGGGGATCTTGGCTCGGACCATAACGTGGTCAAGTTCGTAAAATTGCCTGATTTAGAGCAACAATTTGAACGACTATCTAGTACGGACTCTTTCAACGATTGATTAAGATATAATCAATCTGGTTGAAATGTTGATTATCCGGGGAATTCTATCTAACTAGATGTTTTCTACAATGTCGGAAACAAGTATTAGCAATAAATGCTCTCTGGCGTAACGACGAAAGCTTCACTATCGGCGCACCGATGCTATATTTGCAAATTGTCAAGATCATCATAACGGCATTATAATTTACACGTGCATTTCAGTCTCTCTCGATTATAACCATGTCATGTTTCGGTAGACACTTTGTTATCAATTGAAGTTCCTCATAGAATTTATCTTTATCACAGTTATCTGCCGAAAGATAGAGTATAGATATTGATGACAGAATTTATACGGTCGCATACCGGTTTCCACTAAAACAAAGCGGAATTGGCCTTATCATAACAACCGCCTCGAGTTGTCCGAAGTACTACAGTGATGTAGCCAGTACTCTGTTCCCAGCCAGGATTAGTAATTAATGGAAATGAGGAATAAGGACTTCCCACATGCGATATCTACACGATATTTAGAAAGGGTCAGTGAAGAGTCAGTGGACAGTGATCGCTTGGCTTGTTAGGTGCTTCAGCGTCCTGACCATTCTGACATAGTTAATACAGGTGCAGAGAGTCAGAGAGTTCACTTTAATAGGTTCTGAACAATTGTTCTGATTTGCGAGCACGTTTTACTTATAAAGCTTGGAATCGTTCTATGCGCCGCTCGTATACTTATCGCATACCACTGGGCCAGAAGTATCATGCGCGTCGGAAAAAGCAGAACGCAGACAACGCAAATGTATCAAGAATAACTGATCCTTCCGCCTTAGAGTCACATGGGAATAGAATTACTGATCCCTAACAGCCACTCGAATTTTTGACGTAGCAGATTTATTCCTTTTGTAGACACAGAAGATGACAGAAAATTAAGGAAGAAAATCAAATCAAAACTTAAAAAATTAAGAGAACAGGTAAAAGGAAAAAAAAACTTATCGTTTGCGATGCCGAATAACCGATAATCAGTAATACTCAAAAATAATAATTATTTCTATATCTTGGCAGTTGGATGAACTTACAGCTAATTGCCATATTTCTTCGCTAAAAAAATGCAAATTTTATTTGTGAATTGTATCGTGTTTGATTTGTCGTTTTATAATATTTGATTTGTATGAGCTGCAGTTTTGCCATAAATTTGTTTCATTTTTTTTTATCAGTGCGCCAAGATTATTCATAATTTCTTAGTTTATTTTAGGGTCTCTTTAGCGGAGAGTTGATAAATGAAGAACTTATTGTTCCTCGAGTACTTGTTTTACTTTTTATATTGTCTTATAGAAGTAATTATGAGAAGCTTATTCAGAATACGAAAAACGAATATCCTTACCGGTAATCGTTCTTTCCATATTAAATAATTTTTTTATTTTTTTCATATTTTGCAATAATTCAAATTAAAACTTAATTTTTCTTTATTATCACCTTATTATAATTTAATAATTTAGTTTTAAGTTTTTTTATGTTATGATCGATTTTAGCTAATTTTTATAATTTTTAGCACGTGCGAAATTTTCAGAAAAGTTGAAAATATGATACCGATTCGTTTACTAATGACCATTGTTGAATCGCGTTCTGATCATTTCAACGTTGTTCGTTCTTCTTTAATGAAGTTATGCGGATATTACTATCCATTTATGATGCCTCCAAGCGATTGTCTTAATTTATCGATTATTGATGAATTAAAAACTCCTACATCGAACTCATTCTGGTTTGAATTCCTTTATTGTTTGATATTGTTTTGTTCATTCGTTCTGTTTTTGGATGATTTTTATTGAACTGAAATTGAGAGGTGAACCTGTCGGATGAATAATGAATAATTATTTTTCATTTCTTATATTAATATAACTAAAAATCAAAAAATAAAAGTGGTATAAATAAATTATTGAAAAAAATAATAAATTTTGAAAATTCCGTTTATCAATTTTTTAATCAAATTTTTTATTTATGTTTTGCGTTCTATATTTTAGCAGGTAATCTTGTCAGTAGGAAGGTAAGTAAAATAAGTGGTTAGCATTCATTATTTCTGGTTGGCTCCGCTTCCTTTTAAATCGCGTTTATTGCTTGGATTTTTTTATTCCTATCAAGGGCAGAAGCCCAAGCCTTGCCTTTCAGCACGGTAATCTAGACCACTATCCACTACACTCTCTTCCTACTTGGTAAGGTCATTAAAGATTTTTTCATATTCTGTCTTTGTCTCGTTTTTATCAAATAGCGCTTTATTTTAGAAGTTCTAGTCGTAGAACTTTTGGAACATATTCAATCAAGATGAGGGGGTTTTTTTAAAAAACTTAATTATTATAGGTTAATTGCTTAATGCATATTACTTTTTACTTAATGCGAAAGTTTTCTGACGTGAAAATCGATATCGGAACGTTGCCTTGGAACCACCTTGTCCACCGTACTCGATTAGCAGCAGCATGCCTTAAAATTTTTTCAAATTATATTTTCTAATATACTTTCAATCTTTTACGCTTTCTTGCCTTCCAAATCATTAATCTCAAAATCCCTGTTATGCCACAATAATTTAAATTTTTAATTTTATTTTAAATTTAATTTTAAATTTTTAATCGTTTTTAGATAATTTTACAGTATTTCATAATAATTTGGCTCCTGTGAATCATATTCCTCAATGTCTTTTTAATACTTCTTTACCATTTCTCCACTGCTGTAACAAAGATAGAATTCAATCCTATAGAATCCTATAATTCAACTGGATTATAGTTTACATAAATAAATGCCAGCGATATTGTCTCAAGAGAAAGTAAAATGCCATCTTAGCAACAGGCAAAAAGGATAAAAATAAAACACTGTACTTTCCTAAGAAAAAGTTGATCATTAAAAAAAAACAAAAGTTAAATGGGAATCGGCCGTGTTTTAAAAGATTCCATAATCGTAGAAGCATTATGGGGTTTATCAGAGTGAAAAGAATTCGGTTGGATTTAGGGTCATGGCGAGATTTAATTTGACGTTAAGGGAATAGTTATTAGTTCGCAGAAAGGTTTTATTATGTTATGTTAAGGAAGTAGAGGAAATGACAAAGTAAAAAGGGGTATAACGGGACCAAACTGTTGACATTAAATTTAATTATTCTTTTGATAAAAATTGGCATATACAACTTGACAAAGTGAACGGAAATAATGGAGTTTTATAGGAGAGTTAGAGGTGAATTTCTACAAATATGCGAATAGATTTTGGAAGATAGGATTTAAAGGATTTTTATTCATAATAACAGCTTGAGGTCTCGCAATTTGAAACTATGACCATAGAAATGGACTTCGATACTATAAATACGTTAATTGTATTAGTATTTAGTATTTTAAATATTTGTATTATTTGATTCGATTGCAACTACTTTGCCATTTCTACTTTTGAATATTTGAAGCGATGAAATAATATGCGAAGATCTGATAAAAAAATCACTGGATGACTTGGATTATGATCCATCGAGTGGCGTTAAACTCATGCGTCGTCTGGAATGGAGTTGTTTACGCACACAGATCAGTTATATACACATCGTTATTTCGTCTATGTCAATTGCTCTCAAACAGTCAACTCCAGTCGTATTTCTTTCTTCTTCTGTTGCAATATGGAAACGGTTGGAATGCATTGATCCAAAAACTTTATTCGAGGTTTTACTATTTTTTATTATTTTATTATTTTTATCAAGCTTTTGTTACATTTTATGGCATTTTTGAATAAAAAGCGTTACTATAAAATTCTCGTACGTTTATTATTTTTGATTAATATTGAGAATGTTTTTTTTTATTATTTTCAGGGTACGGTTAGTGTATGGATGAATGAGAATCTGTCGCATGAATCGCTTATCGAACGACCAGCACTTCTTTTTCGATGTGATGATCGAATTTATGAGATACCTCAATTATTTTCATGTTTTCTGCGAATTCTTTCATTTTACCTGACAGCTAGTCGTTGTTACATCACACAAAAAGTTTCAACAACACCAACGTTCTCTTCGGTGAAGTAATTGTTTTTGATAATTTTTAATCCTTTTTGGTTCATTTCATATTTCATTTTTAGAGATGAGCGAGCTGAACGTGATGAATTAGCTCGTTCACTACTTGGCACTCAAGATTCAATGGTTGTGCAAATTTTATTAGAAATTTGTGATCGCTCAAAGCATTCTGCAATTCATCATCTTTGTTGTGGTTTTATTCACCAAATGTTTATAGCTGATCCAATTTTATCAAAATTGGTTCACTTCCAGGTAAAAATTTATTTTGTGGTGTTAAATTAAGATGTTCTTTTTTTTCTTTTTCTTTATTCTTCACTCTATTCGACAAAACTTTTGACTTCCGTTGCTGTTTCATTTTTATTTATAGACTTATCCTATACGGCTCATCCCAATGGCAGTTCGTGGCATACCATCGATGCATATTTGTCTCGAATTCATTCATGAACTGTTGACCTTATCTAATTTATCTCAACGAGTTTTTGCCATCGTTTTAGTTACGGAGCTTGCGTCTCAGGTCATTTATTAAATTGTACAATGTTTTAAAAAACTTTCTTCTTTCCGATGCTGTTAACTTTCCTTAAATTTTTAAGCTGTTTAGAATGCATATATAAATTATTATTATTGTTTTTGTTATCATTTTGTTTTATTATGTAATTATCAATTATGAACAAAAATTTTCAGTATAAGATCGAATCATCATATTTGCGAGTTGGTCTTATATTAGATGTTCTTTTTACTTTACTGCGATCTTTACCGTGTGACGAAAGCCTTGAATTGTTTGAAAATGTTGTACCATCACTTGGTCGTATCATGTGTCTTTTCCCACAGTTATCTGCTGATATTACTGATATACTTACTCGTGTATCAAGCATCGCTAAGTCACGAATGGCAGTTTCAGCAACAATAATTAAACGACGATGCTGTTTAGAAAGGAAGCTTATTGATCTTATCAATAAAACGCTGGCGGATGCAAAAGTAAAAATAAATATTAGTAATTGACGTTTCTAAATGTTAATTTTTTTAATTTTCAGAAGTGTTCTTTTATTTTAATAAATAGATCATTGACTAATAATTTGTATATTTATATGTATTTGAACGATATTTTTTGTCATGTTCGCAGTTTACATTCAGTTACATCATGTAGATGTTATATTAATTATTGATTATTTATTTATAGTAATGATATTTACTAGACTATTTTGGCTGTGCACTTGATGATACCATATTCGAATTGCTTAGTAACTAGTATTGCTGCATTAAGATTTAAATATCACAAATTTTAATCAGGATTCTGAAAATTTTCACTTTTCTGATTGCACAATTATAGAAAGCTGAAAGATTGAAAGATCACAAAATATTTCCTTTGAGCATCGAATATACACGATACATTTTTTGCACATTATGGGTGGGGATTATTGCAAAAATTTTTTTTCTCTTACGTTCTGTTGCATTTCTCTTCCTTTATTTCTGTAAATTACCCTTAAATATGCGTCGTGAAATTGGTCACCACAAAACGAAAGTCCGCATTTGTATAGCCGCGATTCATTCGACCTTGCTATATGGCTGCGAGAAATGACCAATGAGAGTGGTTATTAAGAAGTTGTCACTCATATAGCATCTAAGGCATATAATAAGAGTTAGCAGAGTGGATAAAGCCTCATATGGCCACACGCATCCATCTTCATTCAAATACCACTTGCATCAACACTACCGTTATGAAAAGTCGCCTTAGATGGTTGGGATACATATTCTTCATCACTCACTATAAGAACCCTGTGATGGGTGGCATCAAAAGCGAGATGGACCAGTCAAGACCTGGAGATACGGTCAGGAAAAATTTGAACGTATAGGTAGACCAGCAATATATGGACTTAGACGATGGAAAAAGGAGTGTGTTCTATTACTGTTGATGGCATGGGACCACTCAGCTTGGAAGCGTCTTATCCTTGTGGCCAGTGGAGCCGGCCTAACCTGTAATGGTGAAAGCTGTTAGAAGAAGAGGAAACAGTGATTTTTGGAAAGTGTTTTTTGTCAGTGTTTTGGAGTGGAAAGTACTTTTGACGATGGAAATCGCTGACTTCATGTTGCTGGATCCACTGTGAAGTAGATAAATTTTACTTTCAGTTTTTTCGATTCAGTAAAGATTATCTTATTTTCATCAGATTGAGTATCACTGTGAATTATGGTACAAAAATCTAATTAATTCTAATAGATAATGTAAAAGAATGTAAACTATTCACAATGAATTAATTATGAATTTGAATTTGGACAATGAATTTCTTAGTTTTCCCTTTTTTTGCAGCGTTTTTTTCTTAATTATAAAATTTTTCTTTATAAATCAATTATTCACTGTAACAATGGATACCAAAAAAAAACGTAACCAAGGTTTTATCATTGGTGACCACCATTTTACTAACAAAATGTTCGGTCTCATTATTTTGCTTCTGTTGCATTGTAAGTTTTTTTTTTATTTGCAATATTTAAAAAGCAGGTTAAGAGGTAGGTTTTAACTTCGAGTTCGATGGTCTGAATGCATTATTGAAATGTTTTATTAAATTCCGTAGAATACGGGCGAAATGCACTAAAATTAAGCTTTAAGCCACTATATGATTTTTTTTCAAAATGTTCAATGTTTAGTTTTAGACTCCTTTTAATAAAGGAATATCAGAAATTTTTTAAGACTCGAATTTGAGGAAACAATTTGTGATTTGATGATTTGTGATAATTTATTTAATAATTTATTTATTTTATTTATTTATTTTTATTTAATGGTGATTTTGTAAAGCAGATTTCCAATATTAGTGCTTTTATCCTGAATGTCCTTAGTTTTAAAAAGTCATTCCTACTAGCTACTGTAAACAAGTTTTCAAAGAAGATGATTCTAAGGTAGAATGCTGGCGATCAAATGTTATAACTGCTTATTGCCGCTTGGTGCATCGGACCTTTCAGTTCACTGCAAAATGAGCAATTACTGCGAAGGAAATTGGTGTACAAAAGGATTTGATGACGAATGTTAGTTTAATGAAATTTATTAATTTCACCGGTATTCATGCGGTTTTCATTCAGCCAAAAATAATTCCCTGTCGGAGAAATTTTTTCAAATATTGGTTTTCAAATATGGATTGCGAGCGGCTATTCGCTCTTGATTTAATGGTCGTATCGAAAAAGAACGTGTAAATCCGGTTTTTATCGTTTTCTCTTTTTTGTTTAAATAATTTGAATTTTTTAAGAAGTCAAGTAATTAAGAAAAAAAGTTAAGATTGGGAGAATAAGAAAAAGATTTTTGTTTGCTCCTAATTTTTGCGTGAATTTCTTTTTCTTATTACTTCTTTTCTTGTCTTTCCAGTAAAAAGTCTGAATAGTGGTAGCCTGAAAAGTTGTACATTAATAGTTTTTTGCTTTCCTTTCTCTCAAGCGACATATAATATTTCAGTTAATAAATTTAAATCTATAAATTTATACCCTCAATGCACCTTTATTCGCTTTTTGCTTTTTATTTAAATACTTTTTAAATTTTTACAATGAAGTTATTCAAATAATTGTAGTTTCTCGATATAACTGGTCTGGCACATTTTCTAGTGCATTCCTGGTGCATTCCTGTTGGTTAGGCTCGCCCCACTAGCTTATCAACGAGCGAGACTTGAATTCTGTCACTGAGCAATGTGTAGACGCGTTCATTAAAAATTCGTTCTTCCACAAAAATGCTGCAATTATGTAAGATATATGAACTTCACGTCCAGTTTTAGATATATTCCGAAAATGACTGAAAAAGTTAACAACTGTATCCCTCTGTTTGCTTTCAGAATGGCGTCTCAAAAAATTATTGCTTTACTGCTTTGAGTACCTAAAGAAGTATCGTTCGGTCCATTCAAAAAACTAAATTCGTCTTCGATTTTTCATTTCACAAACATTGTCTGATTATTATTTTTATATTTTTTTCTTTTTTTTATTATTTTTTTTATTTAACACTGATTATTATTTTTTTTTTTCATTAAACGAATAAAAAGACATTGCAAAACACTAAAATAAATAGTTTAAAACTAAAAATTAAATTTAGAAAAATTAAAAAAATTGAAATTCAGAGGAATTTCAAAATTTAAAATTTCTATAGATGCAGAATTCTAAAGGTTCAAAGAAATTTGAGTCGCTTTCTAAGGTGGCTCGCAGCTTGTCTCAGCATCACTCTTGTATAATAAACAACAAACGACGGGTGAGCGAAAGATAACTGACCTATCAGCTCGACAACACGCGACTCTCGTGTCTCTTCTTTCTCCCCTCCTCTCCAATTCTTTTCTTACGAATCTCTAAACGAAATTCATGGGGATCGAATTTCTTCTAAACGACAGATCCACATCAATCAGTCGGCTTATTTAGTGGAAGAAAGCGCCTGATAGTCGTACCATTTTTATCGGCCAAATTCTCTAAATCTGTTTCGTTTCTGTTGTTTCTCGAGAGAGTGGAGACGGACGAAGTATCTTGTTTTCTGTATATTGCAACTAAAATTCTATGCGCCTAAATTCGTCGACAAAAGTCATGTTCAGGTGGCTGTTGAGGGCCCACCCGTTTCTCTATCGACAATATGGACAAAGGATCAAACAACTTTCAAACTGCTTAACTTATGGATAACTTATGGATGAATAACTTATGGATGAATGGCGATTATCATTCGAAGACATACAGTTATCTCTAATCGTGTGGAATCGAACACCTGCGCCCCCCATTTTTTTAAATGGAACTTCTGCATTAGCTCGCTCGGATGTTTATGATCTTGCATGGATGATCTGAATAAATATAGATTCTATAAAGAGGGGCCATGCAAAGAACGTAACATTGTCCCACTATCTTCTGCGGCTCGCAAACAGGGGGGCACAGTGTGCCAATGAAAAGCGCCTTCTCATTTTCTTGAGAGCAAATACAATTTTTCTCTCAGGTGTATTCTTTTAGTCTAACATAAAATACCTAATTGAATGGAACTCTATAGGTATTCCAACATTAAAACCTAGTCGCTCGTATCGCTTTTTTTAAATTCTCCAATCTCCATGGATCAGATCAAGTCAATTTAGAGCTAAGATTCGGATGAACTGATATATAATGTATAATACTGACATATAACCTTCAAAATCTTTTGATCACCACAAGCTATAAGTTTCGGAATAGTTGGCATCTGATCCATTTAAAGCCAAGGCTTTGAAGCAATTAAAGGACTTTAACATGGCATCGCTTTGGCTGATTATCGCTATTCCTTATTCTGCCTCTAGCAGCCAGCAAAATCTACTCTACGATACCCATTAGGACGAATGCTTTGTCTAGAATGAAGCGGAACAGCCGTAAAGCATAATCAAAGGATCAGAGTTTTCACCAGCTCCGTAGAATCGCAATGGTAAAGGCCGCAAAACTGAGTATTACATTCTGACTTTCTAACAATTCGCCGCGCATACAAAGTGCTAACTTTCTCGTTTCCATCTTTCAGTAATTACTCTGGCTCGCGAGCACATCTTATTCTTAAGCTTCGAGAAATTACTACATCTGGATTGTTATCTTATCGCATATGCCTTCAGGGGAGTGATATCATGCGCGTCATGGAAAAGCGAGATAAGTGAATTTATCAGATGTGATAACTTTGTATGCTTCTAAAAAAAGCACAGTAATAATGAATATCTGTCAAGAGTATCTGACCCTGTCACCTTAAAGTTCACTTTTGAGTGTATAAGGCACCAGCGACAGACTTCGATGATGGAAAAAGGAATGGTTTCTATACTATCGATGGTATCAAATCGAACAGCTTGGAGATGACTTACTCTTGTAGCCGTTGGAGCCAGCCTAACCAGTGATAGTGAGAGCTGTTAGAAGAAGAATTTCAAGTTTGAGAGAAGAAAAACGAGTTGAAACAAAATTTGAATAAGGAAAATGGAAATTTAATTTGGTGTTTTCAGCCACCGGAATTCTTCATGGATGCGTAATGCACGCTCCAATTGATTCTAAGCTATCAGGTTTGCGCG